AACAGATGTGAGGATTTGCAGTCTCTTTTCATCGTGTATAACAGGATTTATTGTTGGTCTGACAAAACAAGCACTTTGAGTATGTCACCATGGGCTCTTGGGAATTAAAGCCAGCATTTAAAACTATCCCTAACATTATAAATAATAAAGAAAATGATCAACTGTATAATCATTGTTAAAAAAAATTCTTGGTTGTGGCCCTAATTGTGACTGAAAATTTACTTAATTCATTCATAATTCTTTCTCTCAGATAATTACAGTGCGGCTGTCAGGGACCCCTTATCTTATATTATATCAGAACCTTAAGGGCCTCTGCTAAACAATAAGGAAGAACATCAAATAACCTTTTTCATATTTTGCATTAAATTCTCTCCAGAGCTCATTAAGCCTCATTTAAACAGGCAAAAACACATTTAGTTGCAGCTACAGTGGTGAAAATGTAACTGACTACTCCAACGTCTGTATATTACCAAGATCACTGGTACAATTACCAAATATAATCATAGCAATGAGCAAGACCTCACAAGCACATGCATACAAAAGGTCAGGAGCATATAGTCAGAAAATAACCTCTGATGATTACACACTGAGATCAAAACTGTTCAGGGAATTGCGGCAGCATTGTAACAATTACACTGTCCTGTGTCCTTGAAGCTACCAAAGAGCCCTGTGGCACTGTTGTATAAAAAAAGGCATGTGAACACACACACACACACACACACACACACACGAACACACATATTCAAAGAGCCTCATCCTTTTTATCCTTCTAATTTTTTGCTCTTTTACCATACATTTTACTACACACGTGCATACTCAAACTACATATTTTGGCTGATCTATATGATGTTTGGTAATTCAACCGTATGGTCTTTATATTTCATCTAACCACAGTCACACACCAGAGAAAGTTTGTACTACTGGTGACTCATTGTAAGAGTGGCCACTCAACCAATATCCTTCAAAGAGCACGGTGTAAAAAATACTCCAGACCATGTCACAACCTCACAGTAATAAGCAGTGATATGCAATCATTGTGTTTGGTCAAAGGGGCATTGCAAACGTTAAAAGGATTTGAAATGGTCTGCACAAAAAGCCCAGGTCTGAAACGGCACTAAGACATTGTGGCAGCACCAGGAATAGGCAGCCCCACCAACCACCTGTCAGAGAGTTTTACCTGAGAAGAGGTGGTCACAACTGTTAGACAGCTGTTAGAGAGGGATGAATTACTCAGAGCAGACATCTGTTTCTAGCTCAGAGTGCTGCAATAAGTTTTGGTGGGAAAATTGGATAGCGTTCAGTCAAAACTAGAATTACCACCTTGCAGTCGTATGCCTCCGCGCACCACTCAAGTTGCACTTAAAGTTTACGGCTATGTCTGCGAAAACATGGATGCTTCATCCACATCTTCACCCCCAGGCAGCACAGAAGATCTTCACAATCAGCACTCAAGATGAGTGTCACCAATTGAGTATCTGACTAAATGTCTCCCCTTCAATTCTTGAGTTATAACGTTGAATACTGGCCAGAAGGTGTTTTTGTGTAACATTATGATGTCACAGTGAAGTTGACCTTTGACCTTTTGGATATAAAACGTCATCACTTTATCATTTTAGACATTTGTGTGAAATGATGTCACAATTAACACATGAATTCTTGAATTATGGCCAAAAACATGTTTTGTGAGGTCACAGTGACCTTGACCTTTGACCTATGACCACCAAAATCTCCCTTGTCCAAGTGGACGTTTGTGCCAAAGTTGAGGAAACTTCCTCGAAGCATTCTTGAGATATTGTGTTCACAAGGATGGGATGGACAATGGGATGGGGGGACGGACAGATTTACCAACAACTCAAAAGCATAATACCCCCAGCCACGGCATAAAAATGTTTTTCAAGAAAGCAGAATAACACTTTCTGCTCCATGGTGTCTGTATCCAAAAGTTGTATTCAAGTGCTAACAATAACAGTCATGCTGAGATTATAAAACACATTGTGGGAAGGCATTTGTCAGGGTCAGATGTCAAACTCATAACAGACTGTAGAGCTGAATTTTTTATGTTTACACTGGAATGAAAATAAAAAAGCTTCCCAGACAGACACAGGATTGGAGTCTAAGCAAAGTGTGTATGTGTATATATATATATATATATATATATATATATATATATATAAGTCAGAACACACAACCTGACTGATGGAGATCTGCATCAAAACATTTGGTCATTAACCGTTTAGCTCCCATTAAATTATGTATAGACCCTCTTATCCTTCACAAGTGATTTGGATTGTTTCATTCTTCCAGCGCAGCCGGCTGGGGCTATATTTTGCTGATATTGGTCAGACCGGCAGCATATTTCCCTTGAGTGTTCAAATGCAATTTTATGTGTGAGCTAGTCGTGGTAAGGCTGTGGAGAACTGATATTCTCACAGTACAGTAGATGTGTGAACAGTTGCGAGCTCAACACACCAACCGACATTAACACAAACAAAAACATATACAGTGAATTCAGGCTTCGTGTGCACTTCTATCATGTATTATTCAAAGTACGTTGGCCCTGTATTTGATCTGAAAGAGCTGACACTGGCTGACATCCAAAGACACGCACTGCACCAGAGAAACCCTGGCAAATAGCCAGACAAATCTGACCCCGACTCTGATAGGGTTGTCATACAGTATGTCACTATAACCTGTTTCACATGACAGACATGCACACGCAGTCACGCCACATCACTCCGCACTACAAAAGCACACCGCCGACTCCTTAGCATAATCCCAAAACACTGACATGACTGTACACCTCTGTACTCACGTCCCAATTATCCAGGCCCTCTGTAGAAACACACAATGCCTACAGCATCCCGCGCAACATCCCACGTGGCATCATTAAAGTCAAACAAACCGCCTGAATGTTTTATGTCCCGCTCTCCTCAGCCTCTCCATGTGCCAGGCTCCTTTTCTCTCACTCATGTCGGCTGTTTCTTTGACTCGCTCTCTCTCTCGCTTTCCTTTTTTTTTACAATTTATTTTTTGCCCTGTTACTATTCTCTTGTTGTTAGGTACAGCTTCACTTTCTCCATTACGCTGTAGTATGTTCACGGTTCACTGTCCGTGTATCATGTATCTGATAACAGCACATGTCAAAGGTTGCTGTCAGCATTTCTGTCATATCAGAAGTGACTCAGGAGAAATAGAAATGCAACAAAGCTGAAAAGAACCTTATTCATATAGTAGTTCAATAACTAACTAGCTATGGGATTAATTACGTTTTCTATCTACCTATATTTTCAATACAGTGCAGTCTGTGGGTTGTGGGTGTCATTGGTAACAACCCTTTGGTCTGGACTGGACTTATAAGGGGACATTAATATATCATAGCAACACATGTGTTCTATATGCCACAGCAGTTTCAGCTCAGGGTCACGGTGTATGACTATTACTTCTTTACACAGCAGATCAGATCACTTCAGGATGACTTTGATATTTTCCAAAACTGTCACTACAGTATATCCACATCATGGCATGAAACTGATCATGTCCTTCCTCTTCAGCAGCTCTGAATCATGTCAATCAAAAATCTAGGCTTTGTCACTGCTTTACCCATTTCTTACCACAAATGTTTTCAGAAACATATTTTAGTGTGTTTAGCTGTAAAATGAGAACCCAGATGCCATGTTGGAAGTAGTTGACCAAAAAACTGAGCATTGACCACCGGCTTGGCCAACTTTGTCATTTTACAGCTAAACAGTACACTAAAATATGAAAACATCTGAATCTTGATTTATATTTGATCAGCGATGCCTAGTTGACAGTTTGACTGCAGTTCACGAGCAGTGATTGACATGATTGACAGCTGCATTAGAGACTCCTCAGCTGTGACTGGTTGCTTTCTTTCACATGCAGTAAGGTCATTAGAAATGCACAAGTCAATGGAGTAGGTGGAGGAGTACGATTTTTTCCACAGATTCTCTGTCTCATTTAGTGCTGTGTGAAAATACTGACAGTTCCACATACATAAAAGTTACCATCTACAGCTTTAAATCATGCCTCATCTAATCAGACCTGCAACATGCAAGTTCCTAGGCTTAAAGATCTCTAACAGTGCACTGTGGGACTGATTTTCCTGCATTAAAACAGGCCCAATCACACAATCCACTGAACTGATCTGCCGACTGTACATGGCTCTTTCACAATAAGTGCCGACTTATGACACAGCATGAAGGTTAGCTTTATAAAAGCCTAAGTAAGACTTGCATAAATGCTTTTCTGCTTTTCATTTCACAGCACATAGGGCTATTTTGGATGAAGGCCCCTCAGTGGTCATGAAACCACTCTGAAGTTTTTACAAAAGGAGAAAAAGAGGGACTGAATTGTTGATATTTTTCACGGATAACAGGAAAATTACTGTTGAGTGTTGTGTAAAATTATACACCAAATCTCTCTCTTGACAGCGCAACGATTTGCAGATCAGAATTTACATGAGACACAACAAAAAGAAAGAATCAATGAATGCATCCAGTAATTATAATATTGTGCAGCACCATACTTTTGTTCTATTACCGACTCAGTTTATGACACAGAATATAGTGAGGGCCAATGCGGCTACGACTGTTAGCATGTCACAAGTAATCGTCAAAACAAGAGCTGGCACAGAGCATCACCACAGATGCAACAGCCACTAGCTGAAAGCAGTTATGCCCTTTCACATTGTTCCTCACACTTGACTACACCTGCATCTGTTCTACCCTCAGCTCACATTTTGTATTGTGCTTTATTACCAGTAAGTGAGACATCACCTTTACAGTATCGGTAATTACCTCTAAAGTTAGCATTTTATTTTGACATTTTATTCTCCATAAACCACAACCAAGTAGCGCTACATGGTAGGGAACAACAAACAACAGAATAAATTGTATTTATACTTTAGACTGTCTCTTCATTTGCTCGTGTTTGGCCCTGGCCCAGCTTTGTGTGTGTCCTGCCCTGTGACCGTGCTTTACCTGGATCCACGGCCATCTGTCATTTTCGGCAGCAGTCCAGGCATTGACCAGGCCCTTCTTGTTGAGGCGTGCAAAGTATGGGTACCATTTCTGCAAGCCGAAAAGAGCGCGGTGGGTGGAGGAGGCTGTTATCTGTTGGTTGGAGATTATACCACCCTCCATGCCCAGTGGTCCAGAGCATCCTGAGTGAAGAGAGGAAGAGAGGGAGACAGACGAGCCTTTCATGTAATTTCAGCTCTCAAAAAACATGTGCAACTCAGCCTGTGCATTGCATATAGATTTCTAAAAATACCACAAAGACAGGATTCTGTAATGTCAGTGATTTTGTCCTCCATATTTTGTTTTATTTTTTTCCTCAGTGTCTTCACATCAGAGTCGATATTGTTGTTTATCTCAGAGATGAAAACCTCAGCCTCCTCTGCTTCTGCAGTTTCAGGCGCAGTCATTAAAACTGCAACTTTCCCTTCGCTCTCTGTTGTTGTATCTTTGTGATAACCTCTCATTTAGACCTCGTCTTTGAGGTGGTCATAAATTTGTCCACCCTGACTTCTCTTACAATAAATTCTGCTTTGATTCATCAAAAGAAAATTCCTAATGTTTCCATGATGGCAAATTCCTTTTGAGTCACTCCAGTCAACATGAGGACTCATCTCCTCCTTCATGCTGTCCACATCCACATGACTAACGGGTTTCTCCTTCATCTCTCTCATCTGTAACAGAGCCCTAAGGCTCCCTCCCAAGGAGCTGTGGCCACTTCTGGACAGCATCATCCCAAATGTCAACAAGCTTTGTAACAGCTTTAAACATCCTACAGGCTGCAGTATGAAAGTGGGGAGGCATGACAGCAGCATCGTCAGACAAAAACACCCGTCCTTTCTTCTTTAGGCAACACATTTTCCCTTTAATCCCAATTGGTATGTCCAGGCACACCAAGAGCATTTAATAGATATACCTATGGTGAAAGGGGTTCGGGCAATGTTTATTCAGCAGAGAATTTATGGTGCTGCAAAACAACTACTTCTTTGTGTTTCCATAAAAAAGCCTGTTGGGAAATCAAATAATAATAGAAAACACATGAGAAATGAAACACAGTGAAGAAACAGATGGAAAAGAGGTATGTATCCATACGGTATGCTAGATGAAGATAAGATATACCACAATATACAGTTTTATTGCATACAATTGAAAGTCTAAAAAAAAGTTGACACTGCTCTCCAGATTTTCATAATCCTTCATGTACACACAAAACATCTGCTTTTCCATCAACACTCGGCGCGGGATGGATTGAATTCGGATGGGATATGCATACAAATTGTATAGATTGCCTTTAATCATAAGACAACTCATCAGAAGGAGCCTGTGGAAAGGCATCATAATTGAGGACTCAGGTGTGCCAAGAAAACAACCTCAACAGTTCAGCTGGGATGGGGGTTGTTGTTCCAAACAGCTGTGGTGTATCGCCATCAAAACTGAATCAGATGTGAGCGCAGGTCTCCAGGATCCTTCACTCTGAATACATTGTGTTACACTGGATATCAGCAGGGATGAACTGATTTTGAAATTTTGGGCCATGGATCCTGATGTTTAAAATAACAATTTGGCTAATAGCTGATACTGATATTTTTATGTTGTTTATATTGTTTTTGTTGTTATTTATTCCCCTTTTTGTGCCAGAGATTCTACACTAAAAAATAATAACATAACTGTCATTACACAACCTTCAAATAAGCACAAATTTAATTACATAAATACATTTTTAAGTGCTTGAAAAGTCTTTTTACTTTATATAATACATCATAACCCTCTCTCTAATATCTATTTGATATTGTTGTTAAAATATTAACAAATATCTCCTTCAAACAGCTGCATTTGTTTTGGTTTCTAACCAAAAACTACTTTTCAATAATGAACAATAATACATTTTATTTATAGAGCGCTTTTCATGGTACTCAAGGACACTTTGAGTTTGATATTAGTTAAAAACAATTATAAAATCGAATACAATAAAACACACAACATCATTCACACATTAAAAGCCGTTTTGAAAAGATGACTTTTGATGAGTGATTTGAACCGGGAGAGGTCGGTGCAGTCTCGAATGTGTGTGGGGAGAGTGATCTAGAAGGAGGGGCCGGATATAGAGAAGTTCCTGAGTGGTGAGTCAGAAGGTTGGCATCAGAGGAGGTGGCGGTGGAGCAAGTACTACATTACATTGAACACACCATAATCTACCTTCGCCAAATATGCATTTTTATAATCCCCTCTCTTTTATCTATTTTATATTTTTGTTAAGACATTGACAGATATCTCCTTCAAACAACTATATTTATTTGGACTTCTAACCAAAAACTACATTTAACTAGATTACATTTAACACATCACAAGAACTTTATAATTAACTTCACCAAATGTGAATTTTTACTGAGCTTGAACGCATCATAATGTAACTCAATGCAACCTCTGTGAGCTGTTTATTTGTGGCCACTGGCTGCTTAGAGCTAACGCTACCTAGCGTTCCTCCTGCTGACTTTAACTTGCATTTGTTGTTCACAATGTAGCATGATCAGGGTTTGCTGTGTCCTTTCGTCTGGAAGGCATCCTGGAGAAGATCTCTGTCCCCAGTGAGAGCAGGCGCTGGCTGCTACTAGCCATCTCGTCACACAACAGTGCGATCACGGAGCCCGTTTACCAAACAATTCATTGTATCCTTCTTGTACCTGCTCATTTATTTAACTCTATAGCTGTTATGGCTGTGTTTCGAGCCCTTTTGCCGATAGGCCAATGACTGTCAACAAGGTAAATATCGTCTGAAACCGATGTTCAGCCGATAAATTGGTGCATCTCTGGGTATCATTCAACCCTTAAGTTGCAATACGCCACTTATTAACCGGTTCTTTATGCTGTGCTGTGTTGTCTGAAGGAAAGCCGAACAGCTGAGAGTTGACACAAAGTCAGTTTGAATTCTGCTGAACATCATTACATTCCCTCTAGCCCACGATGCCTCCTAAACATAAATAGCTGTATTTAGGATGTGCTGTTCTAGTTGTGACAGCTGCAAGTTTTAATTAGTCTCTAAGTCATGCATATAGGATTCATTGCTGAGCATTTTTTGTTTAAAATATCTTTCCTAATGAACATGATATGCAATTATATGAATGCTGTGTATGCAAGAAACATCCCAGGGAAGAACAGCTAACATTGTCAGAGGAGTCTAACAACTCTAAAGAACATTACCAGGAGTTTACCAGATGTTTTGTCACCCTGTGTGATAGCGAGGCAGTGTGTCCTACGCTCAGAGACTACCTGAAATAGCAGTTTGGGGCATTTAATTCTCTATCAGAGTTGGGAGTCATGAGCTTGAAGCTAAACCTCAAGTGTGTGCAAAATTAAATTGACTTCCCACCGCCTTTATTATTGTGTGACAGCAGTAAACAAATAGAAGTGACAGTTGGAGGTAGCAGTCAGCGCATTTCTCACTTTTATTTTGCTCTTCAAATTTATTTTCTAATTGGAATGATGGTTTAGTATTACAGAGAAGAAAAGATAATTGCTGATGCTGTATTTAATTTCATTGATACACAATCACATGCGGTTTATGATGGAAATGATGTGGGAGGTATTCCTCCTACTCTGTTCCTGGTGTTTATTTCTAATGACAACAGGGATAAAAGTGATGAGAGTAATAAAATAGGACATGCAGAATGTATTCTTCTCCTGCTTGTGAACAGTGCTGGATGTGATTAATATTTAATCCACTCATCTGATTCCTACTGTTAGCAAGACTGTGGTCGCAGATGATTAAATAGCTGTGTTTAAGAGCCTAAAAAACCCCCACAAGTGCTGGGGAGGCTGAGGGATCTTGGAAGTGTCCCAAAAGAATGAGGACATATCAAGCGCAGAGTTCAGCCAGAGGCACTGCTGGCTCATGCTGGCTATACTGTAAGTGTCCGTGTAAACCAGCCTTCAGGGGAAGCCTGGAGCAGCGGTCACCCGAAGGCTGTGATGCCTCCACCATTTAAGCAAAACACCTAAGCATTTTCAAACCCAACGCTGACACGCAGACAGATGAGGCATGCACACACACCAGCAGACAATGAAACTGGCAGTGTTTAGAGCTATGAGAAGACTCTGACCACAGAAGGAAGCCAAGGGAAGAATGGAACAATGAAAACAACCTTAGCTGGACTTATCCAGCCGCTTAGACAGTGGGGCTCTAGGCAACAGGGAGGCAGGGAGACATTGAGTAATGTCTGAGGACAGTCCAGGGGGATCGACTGGAGGCTGGGAGAGAGCAAAGAGTATATCTGTGTGCGTGTGTGTTTGCCCTGACAGAGATGTGTTTATATATTCCACTATGGTAAATCATTCGTGCTTCACTAGTTCTTCCTTGTGTGTGACTCATTGCTTCCAGACTGATGGGTGGATGGTGTAGGTGGTTGCGGTAGCCTACTGCTGCTAAACTAAAACAACCTTTGGATTGTTCCGATATCTGATGGATAAACTTAATTCAGTCATTTTAGCAAGCCTTAGTAAGAACAAACAGCTTTCTTTTTGAAACATGGTGAACCAGTTTAAACTCATGGCTCAGAAAGATGGGGGACCTTTCTTATCAGAGTGAAGGCTAGGACTTTCCAAAATGACAATAGTGTTGCAGTAGAGCTGGGGTGTATGGAGAAAATCCAACATATTCTCACTCCAGCCTCTTCACATGTTGATGTTTGGTCAATGACCCTCCACATGACATGCAGGTACCCTGGGTGCGTTCGTTGTTGACGTTCTGGGATGTTGTGTCAATTTCAGCCTGTCACATTCATTGTCTGTTTTAAATACACTTCAGTTTTCACAGATTGCATATAGTATCTTTCAAAATAAAAGCACGACATTGCTACAACCCCACAAATTGATGTTTTTTTTTTACTTTAACAACAAATGCACATGGTCACATTTTGCCTACAGACGCACATGGTTGGATTAAGAAAAAAAAGAACAGGGTTTGGCTTTACAATCACACGGGGAAGCAAACACTGCCCCCCCAGTGACAGTCACTGGTTGTCACTATGATATTAATATATTGTCCAGCCCTTATATATAGAGTAATTACAGTTATATTTAAGCATTATGTGCCTAATCCTTGTAATTCAGACACAATTAATATAAGTTTATATTAGTGACTTTTAAAAAA